CATCATCATCCTCTCGTAATTTCTGATTTTCGGTTGTTGTTATTATTATTTCGTTTCATAAGTTTTTTTTTTTCTTTTTTTCTGTTAACTATTTCATCAACGTATCTCTAAAAAATTTGAGTGCGCGTGTATATATGTACATATATATTCCATATACATATACAATACAACGCACATGATGCATAATACAGTACGACAAAGGCAGCCATTAATAACTTTGTTAATTATTATTTTTTTTTTTTTTATTTCTTTTTACTTAATCCCTTTTCATTTTATTAATTGTTACGTTTAATATAATTTATCTCATTTCTTTGAAACTCGTTAATGTATAATAAATTAATTATATATATATATATATATTATATTTATACCGTATATATAATAATAAAAACGAACGCATTGCAATATATTCTTGTTATCTTTTTTTTCTTTTCTTCAAATACGTTTCTCCTATAAAAAAAATTAAATTATTATCGAATATAATTGGTATTTTATTTCTTTTTCCCCCCCCCCTTAACATCCTGCAGATAACATTTGACAATGTTAGTTTCGTATTTAAAGTTTATGTAAAAAATTCATGATAAAAAAGAACAGTAATAGTTAATAGTATTTTAGTGATTAATCGGTTATAAATCCATAATTGAAACCAAAGGTGGTTCCTTTTCCTCCTCCTCCTCCTCCTCTTCCTCCTTCTTGTTATTTTCTTATTCCATCATTTAATATTTACTTTTATAAATAATCCGGCATGTGTTTTTTTTTATTGTTTTTTATCAGCCACACAGATAAACAGGTTTATATTTTATTATTTAATTACCACTTCTTCTCTGTCTTCAGTATCGTTCTTTATTTCTCTCTCTCTCTCTTTCTTATTTTTTTTTTACTATTATACGTGACCCGTAAATTTCGTATCGAATATTCACGGATTTGTAGAAATGTTTCTTTTTTAATTAGTCCTTTTTATTCTGTCATTATAACTTTTTTTAATTTTTTTACTCGAGTATGTTACATAAGTTGTGGCCTGTTTTCTACTGTTATCTTTCATTTGCGCATTCTAGGATTTTTAGATCTTAGGTGTACCTCTCTTAAATGTTTCTCTATATATGTGTGTGTGGTGTGTGTACGTATATAAGTAAAGTGTAATATGTTTTAAGTGTAATTATATGTTATGTGTGTTATATGTATGAATAATGTACTTTTTATTTTCTTCTTCTTTTTTTTTTTTTGGTATCTACCATAGTAATAGTTAATGTTAATTGTGGTGTTTACTGTTTGATTAAGCTTTTCACTCACATCTATTTTGTCTTTTTACTCGTTTAAATCAGTAAATGTATTTATTGCGTTGATCCCAAAAGTTTATACACGAGTCGCGTCTGGTGTTTCTTTACAGATCAGAAACAAAAAAATTAATCTTTCTTTCTATGTTTGTTTTATTTCTTTTTTATTTCTTTTTTTTTTTTCTTTTTTTTTTAACTATCTTGTCCGGCTTTTTTATGCTCACATTGTACACATTTTTATTTTATTTCGTTTATATATAAAACTACTACGCAATATCTTAAAGAATTGACAAAATCTCGTACACGCAATAAAAATAGAAAACTAAAAAAAAAATTAAATGAAAACAATAAAAGTAAAAACTTATATAATGAAATCGTTAACATGCAAACATGTATATTACGATTAATTTTTGTGTTAAATATATATTCTTTAATATATATATATTCCTTACCGAAGCACAATAAATGCATTTATTTTTTTATTTTTAACTTTTACTTTTACTAAACGTGCTTGTACCGTACTAATGTATTTGTGTAATAATAATAAGAAACAAGGATTAAACAACATCGTCGTCGCATAAAGTTTTATCTCTTAAATAAAGATCTTAGTTCAAGTTTAAAAAATCCTGACAATTTTTATATTATTATTT